CCCCCCCCCAACCCACACATACACACACAATAAATTGAAATTAAGAAGAAAACAAAAATAAATTTTCTACAAAGTTGGCATATTACAACAATAATAAATCCAGTGAAATCCAACAAACGGGGTTTGAGGAGAATAGTGTGTACGCAAATCTTACTTCTGATTTATGAGAATAGAGAGGTTATTTCCGATAGACAAAGTGGCATATTGTTCAATATATTTAATGATGTCAAGATAAACAAACCGTTCAAGAACTAACGATATGTTTAGGCAAAGATAAGCAGAAAAATTCAAGAAAATCAGCAAATTGAAGAGAAAAGAAGATGAAGAAAATCACATCAAACCAACACTTTGAATGCAAAAATACCAATAGAACATCTGGAAAATAATAAATCTGGGTAGCCAAATACACCTCCTAGCTAGAACAAGTTAACTTCAATCAATGTATGTTCCACAATACAGTTAGCAACCTCAAGTAAATCAAACCACTTACCTCCCAAGAAAAACTTCTTGTCAACCATCTTTGATTCTTCTCTTCTTTTAACCTACTTTTGATCATCTCTTGTGCTGAAATTGAAAAATAACTTACAAACTGTCTTATACTTGGGACTAAGTTATCGTCAACAATAACAATAACTATGCCTCAATCCCAAACAAGTTGGAGTCGGCTGTATGAATCCTCGTAATACTTAGTTATTGCCGCCGCCACCACCACCACCACCAACAACAACAACTATGTCTCAATTCCAAACGAGTTGGGGTCGGTTGTATGAATCCTCATAATACTCAGTTATCACCACCCTTGCTTAATTTCAATTCATAATTCTCCCATAAGTTTTGATCAGCATCTCCCATTAAGTACCTAAAACAGCTACCATCACTTATCACATTTTGATCATTTGATACATGTCTTGCTTCACAATATGATCTCCCTTGTTGTTCATTGTTGATTTGGACATTATAACATGAACTTGTAGAATTCTCTTTTCTTTTCTTGTTGCACTTCATTAAGTAGCCATTTATGCTATCCCATTTATTTTTGCAAACTATAGCACTTTTATCATATCCCAAACAAGCCATTTTTGCAGCTATTTCTTCCCATAAAACTTCATCTCCTGAAAACCCCATTTGTTGAAATCTTGATTCCAAGCTAGTTCTAAGTTGTATTAACCTAGTAATCTCACTTTCAGGCCAATGTTCATCTTTCACATTATCATTTTGATGCTCATTTAACCCCTGAAATTCGGTTTCTTGATCAGAAGATGGATTAGTAGTTATACTACTCTTTGATTCTTTGCTTGTTAATTTGTGCAATGCATCCATTAATGTAGCATCACGAGCTTCAATCCATGCTCTCTCATTAGCCCAAAATTTATGCTCTCTTTCGATACGAATTTTCTCTTGATTTCTCCATTCTTCTTCTCTTAAAATCCTTTCTTTTTCTTTATTCTCAATCATCTTCATCATTTTCTCAAACCAAGCTTCTTGTTTTTCCATTAACTTCCTCATTTGTCCATCAATAAAATCTTTTATCTTAGCCTTTAAACTCCTCTTCCCTCTTCTCTTCTTGCTCTTTTCTTTCGAATTTTCGTTGACATCACTATCATCAGATGAAGTAGTATTGAAATCAGAAGAATTTGAGAGGCTAAGACTATCAGATAGCTTAGGAGCTAATTGATGGAAATTATGAGGATCGTGATTATTGTTGTTGTTGCTGCTGTTGTTAACGGGATTGTAAGGAAAATGACTTTCGACATGATGTGTTTCTGATACTGAGGTTGTATTAACATTGCTTGTTTCACCATATAAAGCTTCAAGTTGTCGAAAAAATCGATAATGTTTACCATCTTGTCTTCCAGCTTTTCCTTCTTTAGTCTTCTTGTAATACTTATACAAGTTCTCAAATTTCTCTCTACACTTCTTCCCAGTCCTTTGGTATCCATGTTCCTCAGACATAATCCTACAATTATAGCAAATAAAAGGTAAAGAAATTAATGTAATTCTTGGAGCATATGTAAATTAGTATATGTCAAACAATTTAAATGGAGCAACATGATGGTTAATGTTCATAGCAGATTTCAACTTGCTTGAGATTGAAATGTCCATGTTATAACAAATAAAAGTGATTTGATAGTAAAAAGAAAATTTCTTGCAATACGGTGTATATAATTTAAACTCAACTAAATACAAGTTTGAGTTTTGTACACTGTGGTGTGTAGATTGTTTACACTATCAGGTTAAGTTGACTACTAATGGCGTTAACTATTTATAACAAACCTAACATGATAACATGAAAAATAGGCAAATAACATATTATAATATGCTAAATTTCATTGATAGTGTAAAAAATCTTCATAGTTGTCGTGTACAACAATAAAAAATTCAGTGAATTTTCACAAGTGTAATCTAGGAAGGATCGTGTATACGCAGACCTTCATACCCTGGAAGGACAGCGAGGCTATTTCCCGTATGTATAACTTAAATCCAATAAATATTAAGGGAACCCTAGTTTTAAATGCACAAATGATTCAACATAGTGTCACGTGATATTGATGTTTGCCAAGGATAGACTACCTTCATGTACTTTCTTCGTCAAGTTTGTTTACACAAACCCCTATTTAGAATATGACTATCCAACGTTATTGGGAAATACAGACAAATGCTTATAATATCTTCTTCTTCTTCTTTTTCTAAAGAAAAACAAGCAAATAGGAATTTTGGACTCTAAAAGGAAGTGAAAAGGCCTACTTTTTACTCAAATGGATGATCAGAGAGTGATGTAATGAGATTGGTTATATGACGACGAAGTAAAGATGAAAATAACACCTGATTTTCTAACTGAACTTTAATGTACTGTCATTTTCTAACACAAAATTGGCAATGCTATTCACTGCTGAGAGGTTGCTTAAAAGTGCTGTTTTCTCTAGAAAACTCATGTTTCTTTCACACTGTACAATGTTTATGTATAGTAAAACATATCTATAACAGCTTGGTTTGTTCCAAATTTTTTTAGTTATTATAGTAAAATGCTTGTTATGGAAAATATATATTATAATATAGAGTAGAAATTGGTTCCTAAAGAAACATGGTTTTTATAGTGAATAGTTGTTATATATCGATGTTGTTATAGAGAGGTCTGACCATATTTCCAAAACCTCATCGAGAAACAAAGTAAATAAAAAGAAAAAGAACAGAAACTTATAGTATTTATTTGAGCTTAATTATGTACGTCAATGTAAGAATTTGTAGGAAATTCTACACAAGAAGAGAGATTTTTGGAGGATAAATATTACTACTAGGTTTTATCTGTCTATTTGAATTTGTGTGTAAGAGGGAAATTTAGTAGGATTGAACTAGTGAACCGAAAATATACTAATTTAAAATTGGTAAACAATTCACTGCGTGAGGAGGTTGCTTAAAATTGCTGCTTAATTATACAGAAAATTCATGTTTCTTGCACAATGTACAAATCTGTAGTGTCCAAAAGCTCCACAAGAAACAAATGAAAAAGGGGGGGAAAGAAAGAAAAGAAGAGTATGTAACAACTCAAAGTGAGTATTTGTAGGAAATTCTTTACAACAATACATGAAGAAGGATCCCTTCACAAGAACAAAAATACTATAGTAGGAGTAGTTTTTGGAATTGTACGTAAAATAAAATTAGTAGGATTGAACAAGTGAATGAACCCAAAAAAAAAAAAATTAAAAAAAATCAAGAACTTAGGAAGAAAATTTTTCCAAGGCTCCCTTGGCAAGAACTAATATACTACTACAAGTTCTATATGCAACCCTTTGTACATGTACGAAATTATAAAATTAGAAGGATTGAGCAAATAAATGAACTCCCAAAAAAAAATCAAAAACATTTCAAGAAGATTTTGAGAGGAATCTTTAACGAGAACTAGAATACTACAACTAGTTTTGTATGCGCCCCTTTGTATTTGTACGTAACAGAAAAATTAGTAGAGCATTGAACTAGTGAATGAACCCAAAAAAAAAACAAAAAAAAAAAAACTATAGTAGGTTTTCTGCAACTCTTTGCATTTATGAGTAAAAAAAATTAGTAGGATTGCAAACAAGTGAATGACAAAAAAAAGAAAAGAAGAGAGAAATTGGATGGTGAATTAGGTTTTGCATATATTTATATACCTTGAAACTTCATCCCATAAGGGACCTTTCTGATTAGCTTCTTTGAACTTAGAATCAAGTCTCGATCTGATTTCAAGAAGTGTAAGAGTCTCTTGTCTTGGCCACCGCCCGCTTCCGTCGCCGCCGCCAGCTGCTGCTTCCATCTCCAGCCCACTAAACCCAGCACTCGACGTAGTAGCAGCGGCAGCGGCGGCAGCAGTGGTACTTGAATCAGGAAGAAACTCATGATGTTGGTGGTGATGAGGAGGAAGCCCATGAGCTGGAACTTGGGCCAAACCCATAACCATGTCGTACTGATTATGGCCCGGCCCGACAAGATTCCTGTGCTGGTGAGTGATAGCAGGTAACAACTCCGGTGGTTGAACAGAAGCAAAAAGTTGTCTTCCGTTCATATACTGTCTTAGATCTGCCATTCCATACTGATCCTCCATTTCTATTAAAATTGTACAGTAATTTCAAGAAGAAGAAGGAGGAGAAAAAGGTGGAAGAAGAGGTGGACTTGGATCGTGTTTTTAGAGAAAAAAGCTTTGAATTTTAGTATGTAAAAGCAGTACTGATGGGAAAAATGGACCCATTTTTTGTAAAGCTTACTGTTTTTTCTCTATGCTTCTCTTTATATGTATTGTGTAAAGATATATACTGTCTGCTTCATCTACAGAAACATAGTGAAGGGTGAAGGGTGTTTTGGGGCAAAATGATCAAAAGTGCAGGACGGAAAAAGAATGCTAAGGTCACGAGATACTCCAAGAATTTTACTTTTATATATAGTGTTCATTTTCTATGCACATAGGGTTAAAAAAAATCATTTACATAATTAAATCACTTAATAAGCATAATTAATTATTATAAGTAAATCCCTTGATAAATATGAAGTGATAATCTGGTTTAAAATATAATTGAGTAATCCTACAAGTCAATTTTGGGGAGGATAGTGTGCATAGGTGAGACAGAATTCTAATCTTTTTAAGTTATTCGGTTCTAAACTAATAATTTATATGTAATTAATGAACTTTTAAAGACAAATATAGTGTTCGAACCAAAGTTATTCGGTTCAGCCGCACACTAGTTCCACCCTGGTACTGTGTACACCCCTACCAAGTGAAGGGAGAGAGTTTGTTTTTGGTGGATACTCAACTCCCGAAAAGCATAATCACAGCAATTTTAAAAAAATATACGATATTGAAGAAGTCATAGAAAAATGAAACAGTAACAATATCAAGATATAAGAAAATACGAAAATACTATTAATACTATTTACATTTTAAATTTATATAGCTTAAATCCTTTATATATATTGAAAAAAGTTGTTATATTATCAATCTATATAAGATACTAAATCCATATACAAATAATATGATGCTTTTTAGGCGTATATATTCTTCGACGTAATGCACTTTGCTTTTTAGCTAGGTTGATTAGGTTACTACAGTGTTTTGTATTCTACCTTTTTTACCCTTTTCTTTCCTTTAATTACTCAAACATCTACAGTAGCCATTAGAGACAGTACTGAAACTCTCTCTCTCTCTCTGTAAGAGAATTAATTAAAAAGTTGACAGCTACTGACTCGCATTTGTAATACGTAATACTGTAGTACGTACAGGCATGCATAATTCATTAATAAATGTTTTTTTGGCTTCCTTTGATTGGCTTTTAATTTGTTCAAAGCTACATTCTTTTTGTTCTCTTAACAGTACTTTTCAGATAGAGTTGGGCAGTTAATTATGCAAAGAAAACTCTTCAAAATTATTTGTGACACCCGTGAATGATTCACGTCGACAAAACAAGGGAGACGGAGGTAGAGCTATTACGGGTTCAGTCGAACTCAATAGATTTAATTCAAATCATGTATTTATCTTATGAAATTCATTTATTATACTAATTATTAATTTAGAACTTAGTAACTTAAAATGATTATAATTTCGAACTCCTAACCTTCAAATCCTCGCTCCGTCTCTAATGGGAAAGATGATGGGTATATAAGCAGACAGGTCTTAGACCTTAGTGGCGTGTTTTAAACCCGTGAGGGCCCAGGTCCAGAGCGGACAATATCACTGAAGGACAATATCAATAGCAGATGGTATCAGAGCCACTTCGCGTGCAACCTTGAACGATGGTGGGGCAAACTTGAGCGAGGACGCTGAGTCCTTAAGGGGAGTGTATGTGATACCCTAAGCGAATCAGTGAACCCCCTTAAGGGGAACTTACTTAGTAAACCCGTGAGCAGTGGCGGATGCAGGATCTCCACGAAGGGGGTTCAAAAAACAATATTTGTAGCTAGTTGGAATTGAACTCATGACCTTATGTAGATTTTGAACCCCCTTGACCACTAAACTACACTTTTGGATTGTGTTAAGGGGGTTCAAAACTTAATATATAGAGGTAAAAACAGATTTTGCCTTATATATACAGTGTAATTTTTCGGCGAAGGGGGTTCCCCTAAATCCGCCTCTGTCCGTGAGTTCCAGGCTCAAAGCGGACAATATCACTAGTGGACTAGACTATTACGTTATTGTACCCTTTTCAACGTAGTCTGTGAGGTCAGTTTGAACAAGTATTTAAGAAACTTTACAAGGTTTATAAAATAATTGTGGATTCCATCTAACTCTAAATTTTTTGATTAATATTAATCCTATAACATTTTTATCAACTTGATAAATTTACCTAACAAAATCACTTGTTTATTCAATTTATTAGTTACTTTTTCGTCCTAAAATAAAGAAAATTGACCTAAATTCATCAGGTTGAGTGACTATTCGGCCAATTAACTCCTTATTTATTATAGTTATATCTTATTCAAGTTGCACAATTTGTAAAAACGTATGTTCTTAATTTGCATTTCTTGAACACTTTGGCTTCGTATTAAAGTCCTGAGACAGACTAACTCAAATTTAAACTCTATAAGTTTAACGATTTTTAGAATTGAATTTATAGCACTTTCAAAACTATGGATTCAGCTTAAACAACTATATTAAAATTTTAGTAATCTAATATACAAATTATATATATA